TATCTCTTGTCTGTATTCTATATTGTTATTTCTGTTCTTACATCTTCTGTCTGGCCTTTCAGGTATCGCCTATTCTGCTCTGGCTGGAGTCGATCCTGTCTACGGTCTTTACGCGTCATGTTTTCCTGCATTTTTCTACATGTTCTTCGGCACTTCACGGCATGTGTCTATTGGTGGGTTCGTTTTTTTTGTAGGTTTTTGTCATATATTCCCATGAATCCCTACATTTTTGTCGCTTGAAAATGTTTGATAACTTTTGGGATACGCCACGCTTCCAACCCTTTTTCAAAATCGAGGGTACTGAATCTTTGCTCTGGAATGCTTCGTGAAGTTAAAGGCATAAGGCACTGATTTTGGTGCTCGGCCCAAAATAGTAGCAGGCGTGCTATGAAGTGGGGAAAGTGGCGAAAAAGTGAAGTGAAGTGCTCGAAAACCTGCAAAAAAGCCTTTGTTCTACAAGCGATTTCGGACGAGTTCCCGCGGCATCGTGCCGATAGCCGCTACGGTAGATACGACTACATGTATGTACTTATATACTTATCGCCTCATAGTACTTCCTAAAATGAAGCGATACAAGCGTCAGCATCGGCCGGGCGTTAGTGGGCGTTCGGATTTGCAGCACTATGGGGCGCTATAAAGATATCTTCCCTGGGAAAGGCACCACACAACTCTTGCTCGGTGCCAAATTCTGTCCTACTAGGCGTGTTAATCCAACACGTCTTGGGGATTTATTGTGTTACTTGCCTTCAAGCTGAGACACAATACATAATCTGATAGCTCATTTCGCATTGCAGAAATTTGAGCGAAAGGAACGGAGAATATGCAGCGATTAGCGCAGCCTCTTGAAAGGTTCATGATGGTCAGGGGTGAAGCTCAGAACAGGCTGCTTCCTATTCAAGGACTTCAAAAGGCGGAGAGACTGTTTTGGATCGGAGTCAGCCGGTACTAGGAACATCTGAAGAGATAACAGCACTGCCTGGTGCCCTGACAGTAACCCTCGCAAGTCATTGATTTAGACTTTCTGGTCCATAATCTTATGGGCGATGTGCAGACCTCGGCATTACTCGTAACTAGTTGAACCAACCACTCATTCATTCGAATGGCAGTTGTCGGTAATCGTCAGTCTCGTGCCACCCTCTCAATAATTGCGTTTCATCTCATAAAATGTCCGCGTCAAAGACCTATTCGTTTTCGATGCCAAAGACCAGTATCGTTACTGGCCTGCACTGATGAAATTGAGGGGGAGACGAACATATAATCGCATTTTGCCGCGTCGTCGCGCCGGATTCCGTACGGCAAATTCTCGATGTGCATTGGTTTGTCGAATGGAACAGCAAAACTCACATGAATTCAAGCAGAGACACGGCTTCACGCCGGGCAATATCAAATTTCCCTATATTCTAACGATCAACTCCAAACCAACAGGCAGCAGAACTCGTCCTTCGAGCGCGACATTGCTCGCCACGCCCACCCACCAGCACAGCATACTACGATTGCCTTGTCTCGCTCGAAACTGAG